CACCACATAAAAATAAAATAAAGGGGTTGTGTCCAAGTAAAATATAAATATTAAAAAAAGAAAAACCAAGTAATGTGTGAGTTGTCAGTTTAAAAAAAATTGCATAAAAATACTACTCTTCAATGTCGAAGGACAATTAGGAAAAATATAAATTTCAACCAAAGTGTTATTTTAGTATACTCTGGGAATAATATGTGAGAAGGCTAATGGTCATTTATATAAACTGATGGGTATAAAATTTGAGGTTCTATGTAAATCAGTTGCTTTTCTTACAGAAGCAGTAATGTATGGAAAACCTTGGGACTGACGGTGAATGTAGCTCTGAGTGCTTGCCCTAGCATGCATGACACCCAGGGTTCAAACCTAGCACCACAAAAAAGAAAAAGTAATGATGGGAAAATTAAATCAAGTCTACCATCCCAAAATGAATGAGGTACTTAGACTTTTAACTTTTTCCTTCGTGTTTAATATTTTAAAATTGTATTTCATTTTAAACTCTACTCTGCTTTTGGGGGAGAGGGTTTTGTAATATAAATAGCTGCAAACTTTTTTCACAAATAGGACTTTTTGTCACTACTAAAATATGGATATTAAACATTCCTGGGCTGATGGTTCATATTCATCAGTTTAAATATTCAAATCTAGCAAAAATCTTTCAGGGAACTTCTGCCTAAGGGTTTCCTAATACACCATAATGGATTCTCTTTTGAAAATGGAAAAAATTTTTCCCAGTTTATTTTCTAAATTAAGATACCACTTTTTAGAAGTTGGTAACTAATTTAGCCGTTTTTACTCAGTCATCTCTCTCATAAACTATTTGTTTAGCATGTTTTGTAGGGCAGATGTGCACTTGAACCCAACCTCTGTCATATGAGTAAAGTCCATATTAATAGGCTTTGTATTGAGGTTAAGCTGTTTTCCAATTCCTATTGGAGGCCATTTTTTTTTGTTTACAATTATGCTCTGTGTTTCAAAAGCACTTGAAAATCAAATCTGTTATTCAGAACAAAAGTCTTTGTATCAGCCTTTCCTAAAATGTTTGGAAATCTAGGAATGGTTGTTCAAGGAGTTAGTAGTAGGATACATCATTTAAGAAATGGTTTCATGCTTACGTATATTTGGGAAGTCCCATTTCTTTTTCTGCATGATTTCTCAGATTCTTTACTACATTAATGTATTAGAATTCTGATTTTTTATCTTTTGTACTGGGGTTTGAACTCAGGGCCCTGTAAGTGCTTCTAACCTGAGCTACTTCCCAGCCCCCCAATTTTTGACCAGAAGTTGCACTTTTCACCCATCATTTTATTGGTGGAATACATTGCCTTATTCTAATAAGCTAATTGGGAATATAATATAAACAACATACAAATTTTTTCCAGAATGACCATGTGGACTTTTGAAGTTATTACAATATTGTTGCCACATAAAAGTGCATTAAATTTGATTTTCCAAAGGGTTTATTTGCTGGTAATCAGTTTTCTCTAGTATGTGGACTTTGTTACACTTGCAATTTGTTAATAAGATAGTGGAAAAAAACGACAATCACTGAGTGAATATCCTTTATTGAGAATCAAATATTCTAAATTTACTAAACTTAGAGGTAGTCATGTCTCCTCCCCAGTAAACTTTACAGTCTTAGACAATTTGTGCATTTTAATAAATTCTTTTCTTTAATATTCATTTATTTTTTAGTTTTTCGGCGGACACAACATCTTTGTATGTGGTGCTGAGGATCCAACCCGGGCCGCACACATGCCAGGCGAGCACGCTACCGCTTGAGCCACATCCCCAGCCCTTAATAAATTCTTAATTATAGTATAAAAGAAAGTCACTGAGGAAGCTTATAAAACAGCTATGAAACGTATATAGAAGACTGCAGTTTCATAAGCTAAAATATGATAAAAGTTTGAACAATACATATAGTATCTGCTTATTAGTGATAAATGTAAAGTCTACAGCAAACCTAGGCTTCTATTTTAGGTATTAGGAACTCTTGGTGCTCTTTATCTAATCTGGCCATCATAATTTTCTTCCCCTCCCCACACCTAAAGTCACAAGGAAGATACAAATGTGATTTGTCATAAACATCAACTGTATTGTTACTATGCAGAATAAGAACCAAACTTGAGCAACTTACCCTGTTGTAATGAGAATACACTGGATTCCCTAGGAAAATATATTTTCAATTCATAAGATATTTATACTTTCTAAACCTAAAGCTAATTTACATCATTTTAGAAACATTACAAATACAAATTTGCTTTTGGACCAAAACACAATGTATTTCTTAGAAATACTTTCAGAAATGTTGAGAAGAGGCTTTTAACATTTCTGATACATTCAGCAGCTATTCTGCATATAATAAATTAAGCACCAAAATCAACACTGACATTTGTCTGCAAGACTTAACATTTCTCTAAAATACTCCCTACCATCTAGGTTTATATTAATGTTGATCACCATTTGAGTAGGCTCATGAGAAAGCTAAACACTTCATGAAAGCTTCCTTAATATTACTAGATGATCATTCTTGGTAACCAATATTTTGGTTTTCAGGTCAAATATTTGGCCTTTAATAAGGTGTATTATGCTGCCTTCAAAATATTTGTCAACCTGAATATTAATTATCCATCCTTCACCTGGACAAGCATCAAAAATGGCACCACAGTATGATTTCTCCTACCAGTTTGCAGTCCAGCAGGGGTCTAGTTTTTTAACTAAATGTGTGGTGGATTAGGGCTCCTATAACTCCTGCATTTTTCTCCTATCTTCAGAACCTTTACCACATTTTTTACCTTAGAAGGATTACAGTTGAACTTGAGCCTGAGGAGCATATCTATGCATCTGTGAGTATGCGCAAAGTGGGAAAGGCGTTAGGGAGGTTTGGGGAGCTGGTCTGATCACAGAATAGCAGGTTGTGTTTTGTCTTTTTGTGGGGGAAGGTGTGCTGGAGATTGAACCCAGGGGTTTATGCATGTTAAGCACATTGAGCCACACCCTGTTTATCTTTTAATGATTTAAAATTTGATTTTGGTAGAAATCTTTGATTTAAACATTTCAGAAGAAATTTATATTAAGGGTCATGAACTAATTCAGATTTTAGTTTATGCTCCTTTAAAAACTATCTAGAAAACCTTTAAGGTTTGATGATAAATCAAGTTTGGTCATATATGCTTTTATATGTAACATACCAAAAACAGTTTTGGTACTGTTAATCCATACCTTTAAGTATATAATAAATTACTGCTTATTTAGATAAAAAATGATTAAAATATTCAGGTTATTACCTAAGTGGTTAAAAGTTCACAAGTACTACTGATATCAGCCTGTGCAGTTTTGTGCATGTAGAATAAGCTTGGCACCTAAATGACCATGTAGCACCTCAATTCTTGTGGTTCTCAGGCCTTCATCATGTACCAAGTGCAGTGTGGTTTTATTTTCAGATCCTGCAAAATTTTTAATTTAAAACAAGGGAACTCATTTTTCATGAGCAATACACAACTCTTAAGAATTCTGCCCACCAGAGTTGTGATTGCATTTTGGTGGATCCTTTTCTTCCCCCTTATTTTTTATGTAAAGGACAGTAGCTTCAAATTGTTTGCTAATGGCAAAAAATTTTTCTTCTGGTAAGAAAATATAGATTGTGGTATCATTAATAAGTAAAATACTCTTCCTACAAATCTTACAATAAATACAAGTAAAAGTCCTGTATTTGGAATTTTTCTTGAAATACACATGAAAACATTTTTGTCATTGTTACCAGTGAGCTGGAGATTGCCACAGACGTAGTTTCATAAAAGGATGAAAAGCCTTATAGTTTCTGGAAGGGTCTGGGAATAGCAGGTTACTGGAACCCTTTGTTCATTTATTATTCTATCTTGTGCTGAGCTCTGAGGATATAAAAATGAATTTTTTAAACAAGTAGAAAACATACTCTACTTGAGGGGCATACATTAAGTAGAAGATCATATTACAGTGGTGTAAATCCAATAATAGAGATAACTAGTTTATTCTGGGGCACAAAGAGGAAGGGTCTCTATCCCCAGATTGCCTGGGAAGGGGTAGAAAGGAATTTTGTGAGATCCTGGTCACTAACAGGTTCCTGGTGAAGTTGATAATTGGAGTTTTAATGGAGGAGTGGGAAATAAGATGTATTGAGTCAGAATGATATTCCAGATACAGGGAATACAAACAATACAGTATGTGACATGTTTAGGAAATAGAAACAGCTGATTGTTGAAGTATCCCCCTTCTCTAGTGCTATGCATAGGATAGATCCTAGAATGGGAAAGTGTTGCAGGGGTGCAAATGAGCTGAGAGGGCTTACACGTCAATACTAACTGCCACGGAGAGGAGAGGGTGGAATCAGTGTTGATAGTTTACAATTTTAGTGACAGAATGTAGGAGATGAGGAAGAAAGAGGAAGTATGAAGGATGACTCTCAGATTCTTGGCATGGCGATACCATTAAATGAGACACAGAAGGTAGTAGGAAGAAAAGCACTAGGGGGAAAATTATGCTCAATTTTCAACATGACGAATGTGAGGCATCTCTAGGTCACATCCAGGTGAATAAGTCTAGTGGGCAGTTAGTTGGATGTGCACCTGAAGCTCAGGAGTTACACATTTGGGGGTAGTCATCATCACAGGATTGTGGCATCTTGGTACAGAAAGGCAGGGACACCAACTCTGGAAGGAGAGACACTTCCTTAATTGACATGTTTCTTTGGGACTCTGTAGACACAATCTTTTATTCCACCAGGGCTATATTTCTTGGACCACTGAGACATGTTTACCTGTTTTCTCTCATATCTTCTTAGAACATCAGCAAAACTATTGTCTTATTTCTTCCGTAATTATTACTGTCTCCACAAACAGTACTCATGGCAAGGTCTGTTATACAGTAAGTGATCAATAAATGTTCATCTTTGTTATTTATAGTCAGCTGGCTCTTGCAATAGATGACTAGCTCTTCCCCCCACCACCCACCCACCCCTTGCAGGAACTTCTGTTTTACTTCTCAAGTTTAAATTACACATTTCTAAAATGACTTCAAGATTAATTTGTAAATGGGCAGTACTTGATAGGCAGGTATCTTCCATCTGTCATTCAAGACTGAATCATTCCTTTCATTATCACCACATGTTACTTATTGCAGGATTTGGAAATATCCATTTCTCTTCTTAGGGAAGACTGGAGCTTATCCAGTGGAGATCCCATGAGGGAGTTAGAGTTGCAGTCACCTGGAGTGAGTAATCCCTGATTCCAGGTGGTGATGGGGGTTGAGTTTCACATTTTACTTTATTTGAAAAATATGTGCAAAAGAGTCACCAAAAACAAGAACAAACTAGGCTTTGTTGCAGCTGAGAGGCTCTGCAATGTTTTGTATAGAGGAATCATTGGGCATGAAAGATTTGATACTAGGATAGAATCCACTTGCCCTTGGAATGAAAGTAGAAAATCTTTTTTAAGAGCACTGAAGTTCTGGGATTTCTCTGGAATAACCACCTTTGTGAGATGTGGATCATGTCCAGGGACTGTAACCTGAGAGGAAACAAGAAATAATTGTATGAGTGATTTCAGATGTTTTGTGGTGCCAATACTGAGAAAAACACTGATAGCCACCCCTAAAATGCAGCCTTTGTGCAATGCAGGTAACAATCCACTGAACTTCCAGGCCAGTAATTGATGAGTTATCCAATGCGTATTGACACAGGTCATAGTTAATGCTGTTGCCAAGAGTTACAAAATGAAATAAAAGCAGAGACAGGTACTTTATCTGGTGATGTAAATCAGGAGAAAGAACAAAGCTGTAGACCAATTCTCATTTTCATGGTGTGGAAAGAGAGTTGATTGTTTCACTTTGTCCTGAGTCTATACTTATGTCCTTACAGGATATTAATATTATTAAAATTAATCTCTCAATTCGTTCCTTTTTTTTTTTTGCAGCTGATCTACGTGTACACGTATACTGCTTTCTCAAAAAGGTTTGATTTTACTTGACTTTGTTCACAAGTCTGAATCTTTAGCTAGATTTGCTTTTTTGATGAAATAAATGACTAGGAAAGGTCAGGTGCTGTGGCTCATGCCTGTAAGCCAAGCAGCTCAAGGAGGCTGAGGTAGAAGGATCATGAGTTCAAAGTCAGCCTCAGCAACTTATCGAAGCCTAAGCAACTCAGTATAAAAAAGGGCTGGGGATGTGACTCAGTGGTTAAGAACCCCTGGTACCAAACAAACCAAAACAAAAACAAAAACCCAGGAAAAATGCTAAACTAACATGACAAATGCTAAACTAACTATAGGCTATATCTACTGAGAAATACTTTAATTGTATATGATGGAGAAGGCAAAGAATGGTGAACATAGTCATTTGTAGAACCACTAATTGGGATGTATTTTACTATTTATTTCAACTTCCAAAGTCTTGTCTTCCAATCTTGTCTTAGAACTAATAATACCTATAGGTAACATGTACTGTATTTGCCTAATGGAAAATGAGCAATTCATAACTATTCTATAAAGATATGGCTTATTGGGGGCTGGGGATGTGGCTCAAGCGGTAGCGCGCTCGCCTGGCATGTGTGCGGCCCCGGTTCGATCCTCAGCACCACATACCAACAAAGATGTTGTGTCTGCCAAGAACTAAAAAATAAATATTAAAAATTCTCTCTCTCTCTCTCTCTCTTTAAAAAAAAAGATATGGCTTATTAATGAGACTGCATAAAAATAAAATTCACTATAAGAGAAACTCTTTCATAGGATGGAAAATAGTAAATAGAAGGAAAATAAAGGGCCTTTTAAGACAAAGATTCACAGTTAGTGGAAGTTTTTCTCAGGCTCTTTTCATTTTCACAGTGGCAGCAGGGATTCACAGGAAGAGGATTAGCTCCACAGAGCCCCACTGTTGGGCACTATGGGGATAACATGGAGCAGAAAGGCTTTCAATTCTACAGTTTCACAAACTAAAAACCATGTCTCTCATTATGTCCTAAAGATGAAATAATGAAATACAAAGCCACTTTCTACTACAGAAGAGATGACTACCTTCTTCTAGGAATAGCTCTTTACAGAATGGGACTGCTACGGTTGGCCTTGGTCCCACTAAGCAAAGCAGAATCCTGAAGTTTTTTTTGGAGAAAATCAAAGACGTAAAAATACCATTGAGCCAACAAAATCAGGTACTTATTTAGTTCACTCACATAAGCCTACCCAGACTCAAATGAGATAATGCTTTCTTGTCCTAGGAAGAAATGACTCAGAAACATACATTGTAATGGAATTAAAAATCGAGATTTTACTTCAATTGATTGGAAAAACGGCTGCAAACTATGCCTATCACTTGCTTAATATACTTTCAAAATTTGTGGATCAAATTTTACTTGTTCTAAGAAAACTATCATAATCTATTTGCCCCCTACCCCGTAGTGCTGGGGATTGAACCTAGGGCTGTGCTTACTATGCAAGCACTTGATTACTGACTTACACCTCCCCTCTCAATTATTTTTGTAATGATAGAAATTGTATCTGATGGAATAGGTGTTAAATGGTATTCCATGAAGTTCAGAAGTACTTTTGCTACATTATTTGTTTTTATAAATTTAGATATGATATTTGTATATATTTATGGGATATATTAAGATAATTTGATATATGTATATGGAATAATAATCAAATCAAGAGTAGTATGCATTTTCATCTTTTTAAACATCAATCACTTTTATGTGTAGGGGATTTTGTACTCTTCTAGACATTTTGAAATATATCATAGATTGTTTCAACCTATAGTTACCCTACTGTGCTAAAGAAGAACCAGAATTGATTCCTCCATTGTTTTGGTGCCTCTTAACTGAACTTCTGTTTCCCATTCAACTCCTGACTTCTCAGTCTTCAGTGATCACTATTCCTTTCCTTTCTACAAGGCTGACTTGTCAGTTTCTGCGAAAGAGTGAGAACATGTGGCGTTAGAGTTTGTGTCTGACTTATTTCACTGGATATAATGACCTCCAGTTCTCTCTGAATTGCTGCAGATGAAAAGATTTTATTATGGTCAAATAATATTCCACTGTGTATATATATATATTTTTCTTTATCCATTCATCCACTGAAGGGCATCTGGGCTGATCCCACATTTTAGCTGTTGTGAATAGTACTGCAATAAACATGGAAATGCAAGTATCTTTTTGGTATAATGATTTCACCTCCTTTAGATCTATAGTGTTTTCCATAATGACTGTTCATTTATATTCCTGTCAGTAGATGTAGGAGTTCCTTTTTTCCCACATCCTTTCCAGCATTTGTCAGTTTTGGGTGATAGCCCTTTCAACTGGGGTGAGATAACATTTTGTGGTTTTGATTTGCATTTCCCTGATGATTAGTGAGATTGAGTATTTTTCCCCATACTTGTTGGCCATTTGTAGATCATCTTAGAAGTCTGCTTAGTTCTTTAGCCCATTTTAAAAACTAGGCTGTTGTTTGAATATTCAGCTTTGAATATTCTGAATATCAATATCTTGTCAGATGAAGAGTCTGCAAATACTTTCTCCCATTCTGTAGGCTGTTTCTTAATTCTGCTGATTTTCCCCTTTGCTGTGCAATAGCTCCTTGGTTTGATTTAACTCCATTGCCTACACCAAAGTCTTGAATTGTTTCCCATTTTCTTTTAGTAATTTCAGTTTCTATTTAACATTTAGGGTTTTGGTCCATTTTGTGTATCTGTTCTTCTAGTTAGTGGTGTATATTTGTATGTTTTCACGATGGTAGTTTTCATCCTTTTATTTCTATTGTAGGACTCTTCAGTATTTCTTATAGGGCTGGTTCAGTGGTGATGAATTCCCTTAGTTTCTGTTTATCTGGAATAGACTTTATTTCTCCCTCAGTTTGGAAGGATGATTTTGGGTATAATAAAATCATGGTTGGCAGTTTTTATCATTCAGTATTTTGAATACATCCTCCCATTGTTTTCTGAACCATAAGATTTCTTTGAAATCTGCTGTATATGTATCCTGGATGTGACTTGATGCTTTTTCTCTTGCTGTTTTTAGGCTTCTGTCTTACATTTTTGATATTTGGGCTATAATATGCCAAACATGGAAGTCTGTTGGGATCCTTTGAATTTCTTAAATCAGGATGTCCATATCTTATTGAAGGTTTGGGAAATTTTCAGCTATTATTTTGTGAAATAAATTTTCAATTCCTCTCCTCTTCACCTAAATTCTCAAAATGAGAATGCTTATTCACTTAATGGTATCCCATAATACTGTAGACTTTCCTCATTCTTTTAAATTCTTCTTTTTTCTCTTTTTTGTCTCGCTAACTAAATTCAAGAGATCTGTCCCTAGATTTAAGAATTCTTTCTTCTGCTTGTTCTAGTCTCTTGTGAAAGTTATTTTTCATTTCATTAGTTGAAATTTTTAGTTCCAAGATATCTGACTATTCATTTTTTTCTTTCTTTTCAGTGAATTTCTCATTCATATCCTGAATTGTTTTTCTTATATATCATCTCTTGCATCTCATTGCATTTCCTCAGGATCATCATTTTAATTCTTTATCAGGTACCTCATATATTTCCTTCAAATTGGGGTCTATTTCTGGAGAATTGTCATTCTCCTTTGGAATTGTGATGTTTCCCTTCATGTTTCTTGTGTCCTTGTGTTGATGTCTGCTCATCTGGTATAATGTTCATTTCTTCCAATTTTATGAAATAACTTCAGTAGAAAAAGATTCTTTTCTGCTTAGATGGGGTAAAGGCTGTCATTTGGATAGGGGCTTTGGGTTTGGATATAGGGGAGCTCAAAAGTATAGTTTCTGTGTGCTTTATGAGTCCATGGGCACCTCAATAGTCTAGACTGTAGAGGTTTGTAAAGGGTAGTTGTATGACTGCAGGGGACATGACTTCCAAAGGTATGTGACTTTGGGCTCTACAGAGTTGAGCCCTGATGGCACTGTAACTAGTGGTGGCAACTGACAACAGTTCTGGTGATGTAGAATATGGAGAGACCTACCCTCTGGCCCTCAGGGAAAGCACAAGTGACATCAAAGGTTGTAGCCTCAGCACCCATGGTCCCTGAGCCTAGGACATGTTAGGAAGCCTTCCTTAGGATTCTCAAGATGAATGGAGGAAATGTCTGGGTCTGCAGTACCAGCAGCCACAGTTCTGAAGTCTTATATAATGAGCACAGGTGGGTCTGTGGCACTGGAAACCATGAAATTTAGATTTGGGAACACAAAGGGCCCTTCCCCTAGGTCCCATGAGGTGATTTATAGTTGATGCTGGGGCTTGTAGTGCTATGAGGTGCTTTTTAGAGTTGTGTGACCCAGATGTTACTTTCTTTACAGCCCAGAGGATAAGCACAGAGTCATCCAGGGCTTTTGGCACCAGAACTAAGGTCTGAAGTCTGTGGGTTACACAGATGTTCCTTAGGTTTCCTGGGGCCTGTGCAATTGGGCTAGTGGTACGGTATCCATGGGAGATCTTCCCTAGGTCCTTCAGGTTGAGCACAAGTGATGATGGGGCCTGTGGCTTTGTTATCTGCAATCTTGGAGTTTCAGGATATGAGTGAGAATGTCCCTGGGGCAAGCTCTGGTAGGAACAAAGCTTGCAGAGTTAGCAATTACAGTCCTGAAGATGGGTCCTTCCCCCATCCAGCTGTACCCTTGAGTGAAGTAGAGGCTTTTTGCATCTGCAGTTGCAGTCCCAAGGACTTGAGCTGAGAAGGAGACTTTTCCTAGATTAGCAGGTGAGCAGATGTCAAGCAGGTATTCAGGCTACCACAGCTGTATTTCTGGAGCTGCAGAAACCCCTGCACCCACAGGCATGAGTGAAGTTGGGATTTTGCAACAGTGGCTACAGTCCCAAGGCTGTGGACTGGGAGGACATATTCCCTTGATCCTGCAGGGCAAATGTGAGTAGGGCTCAGGCTCTTGGCTATAGTCAGTGGGTGGTCCTGAAGCTGCAGGATGCTGCCTGATTCCCAGTGAAGTTTACACCAAGGCTTCTAACTGGTCAAGGGTTTGGATGCCAGCCCCAAAACAATATGGCATCTAGTAGTGGTTGTTGTAGTTTGAGTTCTGGGGGTTGAAGGAGGTCCAAAAGGTGCACTTTCTTTGGAGCAGAAGAGTCACTTTTAGACCAGTCAGTTCCCCAGACTAGATTTAAAGCTTGTAAGGGTTGTGGAATTCTGCAGTTAGGACTGCTGGTCTGCTGCTACAGTCAGGGTTGCTGGTACTTCCAGCTCACCTCCTTCCCACCATGCTGGTTCCTCACTGCCTGCTGGGAGCTCTGCATTGCTTTCTTTTCTCTAGATTGGAGACCTATGCTGTGTAGGCTTCACTGCCTTGCAGATTTCCAGAGTTCTCCCTCACATTCCTTGAAATAGTTGCTCCTTTGCTGGCTTGATCCTGTGGCAGAGGGCACAAGGCACCTCTCTTCAGCCATCTTGGCTCCCTTTTATTCTTACTAATAAAGTTGCATTTTTTTTTCTTAAATTATAAAGATTCTCACCAAAATAGGATTTGGCTTTACTTTAAAAATTAAGGGTTGGGGATGTAACTCAGTGGCAGAGAGCACTTGCCCTAGCATGTGTGAGGCTCCTGGGTTCAATCCCCAGTATGACACAAAAGGAAGATTGCCACTCAAGAAAACATGATTTTTTTTTCTTTTGGTTAGTTCCTATTGTTCTTACCTCCTCCACACCCCTGTCATTTGCAGGCATGATTACATTTCTTTCTGCCCTGATGTATTTTACTCTTGGCTTTTTCCAGATTTATTCTAGATTCCTTCTGGGTGAGTACTATGAGCTCTGTAGTATCTTCATAACAACCAGGATTGCGTACTTACATTTATTGTATAGGACCCAGGCAAGAGAAGTAGATAGTACTCTCCAAATTTGTTGGTTCTAAATGGGCAGATGTGTTTTCTGTCTTCGACTTCCACAATTACATTGGGTAATGGATTTCCATTCTGATCAAAAACTTGACCCTTTACACCTGTAGGACAAAAAGACAATCAAATGTAAATACCATTTTATGGCACATTGCAAAAATCAATGACTACCAATTACAGTCAAATTACTAATCTGACTTATAGCTTGTAGATTGTTGGTTGCTAAATATTCCATTTATAACACATATCAAAATGAGAGAACACATATGACATAATCTAAAATCCATTCCTGTCATTTCCAAACTGTTAACTCAATCGCTAAACTATAATCCAAATCAGTGGATTCCATAAAATCCTAAACAAAACAATGTTAGTGTATTAACTTAGAAGATGTATATCTATACAAGGAATTAACAGTTTTGTCTTATGATCAGGAAAACTATGTAAGTAGCAAAATTGCAAACAAAAATCTGCTTGAAGCATGGAATTGATTAATGATTTCTTATTACTAATACTAGCAGCCAACACTATTGAGTGCTTAGTATATTCCAGGTTCTATGCTAAGTGTTCAATATGCATTTTCTTATAGAATCCTCACATCAATTCTACAAGGCAGACAATATTATTATCACAATTTTGTAGGGCTGGGGTGTGGATCAGTGGTAGAGAACTTGCCTACCAGGTGCAAGACCCTGCATCTGATTCTCACTCAACAGCACAAAACAAAAACAAATACAATAATCACAATTTTATAGATGAGAACAGTAAGGTTTTGGGTGATTAAAATAACTTGCAGTCTCACACAGCCAACTATGTGGCATAATACAGATGTAAGCATAATTGTAATCTCCTGAGCCCACAATGAATCCATGATAGCATTACCTACCCCCACCACATACAAACTTCAAAATTTTAGGAGTACAATTTTTTTGTGTTGCTGGGAATTGAACACAGGGTCCTTCATATTCTAGGCAAGTGTTCTACCACTGAGCATACCCTAGACCATCTTCTCATTTTTTATTTACTTATTTTTGCTATATTGGGGATTGAACCCCAGGGGTGCTCTACCACAGAGCCTCAGCCCCATCCATTTTCATCTTTCATTTTGAGACAATGTCTTGCTAAGTTGCAGAGGCTGGCCTCAAACTTGCAATCCTCCTGACTCAGTCTTCCAAGTAACTGGGATTACAGGAGTGTACCACCATGCCCAGCTTGCCTTCCCGCATCCCCTTTAAAAATCTCACTTTTGTTTATTCCTATTATTTGGTATGCTGAAGTGGAAACATTGCCAAAAGACCAGTAGACCCAAAGAAATCAGAGAAAGATATCATATCAGGAACAAAAATAAGATTTTGAAAAAAGCTCAGATAATAAACAAAAGATGGAGATAAAACCCGAGACTCAAATTCTGTGGACACAGCTGGAGATGTGAGGAGAAAGGAAAGGCTCTCCTCCCTTGGGTATTAGCTTCATGAATGATAAGTCCTTGCTGGGTGAGAATGGGGACTCTGCTGGCCACAATCCAGAGTGAAAGCTGGGACAGCACTTGGGAGACTGCTTGTTTGTGCCATGTCCCCACCTAAAGATCACAGTTACCACCTGTTTGAGATCTGGTGAAAGATCCCTGTGTGTGTCCCATAGGTTTCTGGAACTCAGCACATGCCAGATGCTGCAGTTGCTTAGGTGTCTGGATGCTGTGAGTCACTCCCCAGACCTCTTGGTCTGGATCTGCCTTAAGAGTCTAGGGAAGAGACAGGGCCGCAGAAGGTGACACTGCATCTTGTGCATCTTGGCTTCTCCCCAGGGGATGGGGACCAAGCAGGACAATCTGGGCCTAGAATTCAGATTTGTCCTCCTTTGCTATCTTGGCCTCAATAGGTCTGCAGACACCTTTATCCCAAGCCACACCTCCAAACATGACCACATGGTACCACTGGGCCCAGTTTAGACTGAAGTCTAGAGGGAGTTGCTGAAAGAAAACTGCGCTGGAGCTTTAGAAGATGCTGGTGCGAGGCAAGGCCAGCATTATTACTCCCAGTTCATTTGACTTCGCTGAGGTCCTGAGAAGGGCTTGCTCAAGGTTTCAAATAAGCCAGATGACAAAATACCTGGGGAATCTACCCAGGCTCCTGCCCTGGTGGCAGACCTTTCATTAAAGCAGAAGGCCTTAGTGTGCAGAGGTCCTGGATTCCAGCCCCAGCAAGGCGGGTGGGGAAAAAAAGACCTTTCTTTTCCAGATAAGGCAGGTCAGAGACTTCCAGAGAAGGGTCAAAAATCTTAGTCTCAGAAGCATCCTAGCTAGTAAGAATGCAGCACAGCTTGACAAATACCATTAATTTCCTTAAACCAGAGCAGTACCAACAGAGGGTGTTAGCTCCCATCATCTACAAACAAAAATGTTCTCTCCATTGGTGCCCTTATAGAAAGAGACTTTCTATGAAGTAGTAATAGTCACACTGTATCAGTATTTTGAAATATGGTTTCATTACTAAAGTAGGAGAGAAAATGCCTCTGTCTTAAACTACAAGGGGGCAGGTTTGATGTGCTTGTACATACATACACACATACACACACACACACACACACACACACACTCACACACACATACACAAATAATTTCTTTCTTTTTTTTTTTAAATTAGAGCTTTATAGTTACACAAAGTAGTTGAGTTCATCTGATAAACTCACATGTGCATGGGGGTCGATTTCAGTTCATGACACTCCACCCCACTTTCCACTCTATGCTCCCTCCCCTCTCCACTTCTCCTTTCTCTACTAGACTTCCCTTTGCTCACCTATTAATTTGTATTTATTTGGTTCTTTATGTTATCCTGACCTTTCCCGCTTTCCTTTATTTTACTCTAGCCTCCACATGAGAGAAAACATTCAACTTCTGAGTTTCTGAGTTTGGCTAATTTCACTTAGCATATTCTCCATTTCCATCCATTTACAGGCAAATGCCATACTTTCATTCTTTTTTATGGATGAGTAGAATGCCATTGTGTATGTTTCCAGCACAATTTCTTAACCCATGTCTTTTTAAAAGTGAGTTGTTCACATCTGATTACAGTGACAGGTAGATAAATATTCCTCATATGACCAGGTGTAAATGGACTTGCAAGTCCTCCAAATTAATAACGATGACTGTAGTGCAATTTGTATGTTATTGGTTTACAAAGCTCCTTCACTGGCAGTATCCTGTCAGCATGACGCTTGGAAGCCTACCTTAATTCAGCGCTTGGTGAATCATCTTTACAACTAGGTTCTGAAAACAGTAGTACATTTATAAGAGTATATTTCAATTCAGTTTCATTCCCATGTTGATACTAATAAAAGATGAATTTCAGAAAAGAATACACCGTAACACACGAAGGGTCACATGGGTGGAAATATAATACCAAAGTTAAACTAATCCATGCTTCATGAGGCAAAGCTAGTGGAGAATGAAATGCCAGAATGCAAAACAAGACCCCAAACCAAGTTTTATGACATAATAAAGGAGAAAAATCTAGTGATCTGCTTATAACCTTGATGAAGATGCTGGTGAAAAGGTGACATTTTGTAACATTCCCTACATAGGGAATCATCTGATTCAGCAGTTAGGGCCCTGAGAGTTCACCAACAATGTTTGTGTATTTCTGTTCAGTTTGGGGTTGGAGGTTGGGGACAAAGGTAAGGAAGTGGATGGAGGCATGCATTTTTAGGGATGTGCAGCCAGCCAAGGGATAGTCTTAATGATGCTTGTATTCAGCTCCCTGCATGGGAAGCATGCAGGAGATTCCAGTAGGGCCGTGCAGCGAACCTCTTCACACAAACTCACCCTTAACTTGGGACTGATGTTGTGCCACAGCTATTATGACAATCCCTAATATGCTTCTTCCCCCAAGCCTTTCTGAACTGAGAAAAATAACCTTGGCCCTGGCCATACAGAAGAGTCTTCCACATTCCACCCAAAGAGACACCAACTGGTTAGCAAACTTGGATTGCACATGATTCCATCATCACACATAACATGTTTCTCTAGTGCAAGAGTTTTCTCAGCATATCCCTGGATATCAGTATCACCTGGGAAGATGTTAACAATTCGAGTGCCACAAAATCAGAAACTCTGTTGAGGCCCGGTAGTCTATCTCCCCGTACGCCTGATGTTTATGTTTGGGAGCTACTTTTCTTTTGCCACATTTATTTTGTTCATCTGTGATAGAGGCTGAACAGCCTTCAGAAAACAGGCTGGGTTCTAGTGCCTGGTCATTTGGTAGAGGTGAGGGGTGGGAGGGGTGAAAGTAAACGTGCTAGATCACCACCCGGTTTCTGGGAAAAAATGCAAAATTGTAATGTCCAATGTTGTGTGGCAAGTAACAAGCAAACCTGGCTTTTTCCTCCTTGGGAGATCATGTAAAAGAGTAACATCCTGTTTGCTGGAGGAACACTGTATTCTCACACTGCAGATACCCGTACAGAGAGAATTCTGTATGAATTCTGGTACTGAAATGAGGCTGTACCTGGAACACATAATTAAAGACTTGTATTTGCTCAGCCCAAAGGTCCTGCCAGATGCTCTATTTTGTGTTAACAGGGAATAATAAAATCTTACAAACCTAGGTGCACCTGTTTTATATATTCAATTAATGAGGCCTTGTTATCATTCCAAAAGTATGGCAGCTTTTCCTCACGAGGATATTTACAGCATGACAGCTCCAGTGTGATTTCAAAACACTGGGCCCAGATGTAGTTGTAGTCTTGCATTCCACCTACAAACAAGCATATTTAGTTTTCGTTAAGGCCTAAAATTGGAGTGAAGCCAAGTATCACAGACCTTGGGGATGAGTGGATGAGACAGTTGCAGGGGAAATGAATGTAAACAGGAAAAGACGAATTTGACATATTAGCATGAAAAATCAAGGATTGACATGACGAGTCATGACTAGGCATCTTAAATATTTCCATATGCAAAACTGGATCAGAGTTGACTAAAGTTCAGTTGTGCATCAAAATTAAATGAGGGGTGGAGGAAGGCTCCTTTTTTATTTTTATTTTTAAAAGTTCTATATTATGAAAGGATTCTTCAAATTCCACTTCTTCCTTAAATTACATTTTAAATGGATGTAAACTAGAATAGAATTTCGAATATATCTACAAACCATTCATTTGTAAACTCATTTATAAGAAGCAAAGAACACTAGTTTTAAGGGAATAATAATGGCCAACATTTACTTAGTGTTCACTATTGCTAGGTACTGTTCAAAGTGCGTTAGGTCAACTCATTGAATCCTTATGACAATTATTACTGCCTTATACAGAGCAGGAGATATAATCCCAGATGTTAGGTCATGTGTCCAGAAATTCCTGCCTGTGGACAACAGAGACTAGGGTGTAGGCCACCTTGCCCTAGCTCCTGGGGATTGAACCCAGGGGAATTTATCACTATATCTGCAGTCCCCCTACCCCAGCTGTTTTTTTCCCCCCCTTAATTTTGAGACAGGACCTCTCACTAAGTTGCTAAGGTTGGCCTCAAAATTGTGATCCTCCTGCCTTGGCCTCTAAGTCACTGGGAATATAGTTGGGTGCCACAGCACTCAGCCTGAGTTCCCATGCTCTTACCTATTATGCCAAGGTGCTTGTGGGGGTCAGAGAAAGAATGCCACTGACTCTCAGGAGGAAAACAACGCAGAGCTCTGTGGCTTCTGGTGCTGCCAGTGCTTACATCATCTTTTTGTTTTTAACCTTCTGAAAACCCTATTTTCAAAGAGTTATTACAATTTTATTTTCTAAGATAAAAATATTTTCATATTTTAATCTCTCTGAATTGAGATATCTTAAATGTCATGCTTGAAAAAATTATGGCTTTAACTGAAAACACTTTATTCCTTTCCTGGTGGTTTATCATATTTTACAATCAATGTCATCTTGGATTTGATGGAATAACAGTAACTTTAAAGGAAGTAGATTTTAATTTGCTACACTTGATATCTGCACAAGAAAATATGTATTCTCAATTCCATCAGGATATTTGGAAGCACTGAAGTAGAAAAACAGTTTGATTTCAAGAAAATGATTAAAAGAGTATATCAGAATACTGATACATACTACTACTACTATATATAGGTAGCTGGGCGCGGTGGCACATGCCTATAATCTCAGTGGCTTGGGAGGCTGAGGCAGGAGGATTGTGAGTTCAAAGCCAGTCTCAGCAACTTTGAAAGCCATTAAACAAACTTGGTGAGATCTTGTCTCTAAATAAAATACAAAAAAGGGCCGCGGGTGTGGCTCAGTGACTGAGTGCGTCCGAATTCAATCCCTAGTAGTAATAATAATAATATACTGGACACCTGGTGGTGGCATGTGATTGAATAAATCAAATTATTTCGAAAAAATAAATACTAGATATATTGGGCTGGTATTGTAGCTCCATGGTAGAGCGCTTGCTTAGCATGTGTGAGGCACTGGGTTTGATTCACAGCACTGCAAATAAACAAACAAATAAATAAATAAAAGTAAAGGTCCATCAACAATTAAAAAAATATGAAAAATACTAGATATCAAGTAATAACTGTGTAGGCCCAGATTCTAGCCAGGAAAAGCCTATCTAATAGATTTTTATATTTCTCTCTGAACTYATTTTCACAAAAACAAAACAATAAGGAAAAGAGAGAAAAGAAAACAATATTTTTGGATGGATATGTCTCAGGTAGAAAGAATTTAAAGTGCTTTAAGGATCCCTAGCAAAGTATTCCCAATTGAAAATGCCAAGCATGGAGAGTGATCAAAGCTCTGGATAAAGCCAGTCATGCTTGGCAACAAAACCTGTAGGAGGGCCAGAAGGCTTTGCTCTCTACTCCAACGCAAATGGCTTTGCCTTTTTTTTTTTTTTGAGAAGGATACACAGCTCATACATACATACTTGGGAAATTTCCAATAGTAACTATTGGGTTTTTAGCTGATTTCCTATACATTTGAATTTGTCTTCAGTTATAGACAGTGAACATTAAGGACGACTCTGCCACTGAGCAGGAGTGAGGTCCTCTCCTAGCTCCAAAGAGGGAAGAACAAGACTAGGGTAGAGACCTAGGGTGGGAATGTGGGGCCTATCTTAGCAGGGAGAGTTTGGGGTGTTGTGCTGTCTAGCTGGACCTTCTGGCTGCATGCCCTCAATCATCATCTATGCTTATTTACATTATCTGGAAAGCTGTCAACGAGCTGTCCAGACACAAAGTACTAGCTTGTGCAAGATTACTGACAGCCTGTGCATCTAAAGTGATAACTTGTGAAGGCACCTTTGGAAGTGGCCTGTGTGCAGAATTGCAGCTTGAGGGCCAGCTGGCCAGGCTGGAAGGGAATACTTTCCAGTTCCAGCTCACTGTATCCCCTTCTGGCCTTCTGCCCTTTGTCCCTCCTAATATTTTTCAGTTCTCATACTAGTGTGAGTTCCCAGATACTCCTGGGCTTCTGTTTACAGTACTCCTTCTTGCAAGAATATCTTCCTTCCATGTTCCCCACATGGTAATCTCTCTCCCTTCCTTCTTGCCATCCTATTCCAAGGGTGGAAACTGGAGGACCCTGTCTGCTGTGTCCTGCCTGAAAAGCCCTTTTTTTTTTTTTCTTAATTTCTTTATGCCATAGATGTTCTCTTTTTTTTTTTTTTTAAAGTGAGAGAGAGAGAGAGACTGAAAAGCCCTTTTATTGAGCCTGCAAAGTAGCTTTCTAAGAAGGGTACTTCTTCCTGATATCCAGCTTTTCATAACCTGGAATGTCTAGCCATTATTGGTTCTCCACTACTGCATGACAATAATAAGCTGGATCTAAGTATCAACAACTGTCCCTGTGAAATGGGACATAAGCATTGCAATTCTCTAAGGTCTTCACAATTTCCCTATTGTCTTTTGGCTTTTGTGTAGCTATTGTGTATCTACTGGTTTGTATATCCCTATGGTACACAGGTATCTTTTCTAAATCTTCATTCTTATTCTAATTACACAATCACAATTACTTATTTGCCTTAACCTTGAGGGTAAGATCTGCTGTGTCTTGTTCATCTTTCTTGGTACAGTTCTGGCTCAGAGCATGCGGATATTGAATGAATACCTGAATGAATAAAAAAGGCCATTGGCAGTGAGGGACATGTCTGAGCATCTCTCACCTCCACTGCTTCTGTGGTATTAGCTAATGGAGAGAAGATTGAGAGACACAAACCAGCTGGTGCCCTTGGGTGATGACAATAAGGAGAATGGAAGAAATGAAGAGAAACTCACCTTGAAGTGGATACCAAGAGTAACCATTTGTAACTCCATTGGGAAAGTTCATTTTATTTTTACACTGATCTCCTTTAGTCATGTTGGGATTTCTTGAAGCATAGGTATGTGCAAGATGTTGAAAAACATCATCATCAGGAGTTAAGCTTCGGGAGAGCAATGTTCCAGTTGCTGCATTTGAAAGACACATCAAGACCTTTCAATTAACTTATAGTAAGATGTTAGCAAATACATACTCACGTTGCACATAAATGCTCTCATTTCCACGGAGAGATCCACCCATTTCCATCAATGCTCCCTCTATTCTTTTTTCCACTTTTTCATAAACAAATACAAGGTGATATCTCACAAAATAAGTCAGATACATATCCAGATTTCTCCTAAATCAGCTTAAAAATTAGACATCCTCTTGGTACTCTTGCTGATTTCTGAAGGTTGGCAAACTTTCCTTAGGTATTCAGGGGGTTGAAGGAAGCCAGTAATATTTTAAGTCCTTGAGTTTTAAAAGGAGTCAGCAATTACCATTCATATGATTAGCAAAGAAATGTAATTTGTTCTAGTTTTATTTTGTTTCAGCCATGTAGCCTCTTGTGAGGTGATCTAAGTCTGATTTTACTATTTTACTCATGAATATCACACTACTGGCTTCAGTTCAGCCACACTGCACATCCACTGCTTCAGAATTTATAGGAAGGATGGCTTAGGGTTGGGAAATTAAAGCTCCTTCTAACCCAGCCAGAGATGTTAAGCAATGGGAGAAGGGTTCCTCCTCACATAGAGGCACTACATTTGTAGCTCTGCTCTGCACTTAGAAAGCCAGAGTGGGTCCCACATTTGCTTACCTTGAACACCATTATCAAATGGGTAACTGGCCACCAATGCACCACCGTGGAGGTTTGCAGAGAGGACAAATGTCTCCGATTTTAGCCACTTCATGATTGCCAGAGTTTCAGGCTGCCTTGATACATTATTATATTCAAAGGCATCAGGGAAATTTCTATTCAGGTCATACTGGTTATAATTTTCCCTTTAAAAGAAAGAACTTTTTAGGGCTCATTGATGTTGTTACAAGGGAAAAGATTCTTGCAGTGCAAAGACCTTTGGATTAGGCTCCAGGTGTTTCCCAAATGTGGTAGATGGCAGCCTTGGTGCCTCCAACAAACCACACACATTTACACCCTACGTGGTCTCCTCCTCCTGTCTGACCTGCTCTTACCAATAGAACATTAACTATTGTAACCTAAGCAGAAGCTTTTGGTAAGTCTTTGCATTCTGGGACTTTTGCCCTTAGAAAACTTTCTTTTGGAGCTTGAGACTCCAGTGGTAGATACATGGAGAGTCCACATGGAGAAATGAAGAGTCCCGGGGACAGCCAGAATGAGGACCCAGGTGAGGCACTTGGACTGGCCATTCCAGCCTTGTTCTGCTCTGCCCAAACTCCTGATTTACAGGGGAAAAAAAAAAAAGCTATTGTTTCAACTCACCAGTTTAAGAATGGTTCCTTATGTAGCAGAAACAACAGGAGGAGTGAGCTATTTTATATTTATAAAAAGTGGAATGTTTAAATATGCTAAAAAAACCCCTAAAACTGAAGAGAATCCAGTGGTGAGATTTTATTTTTAGTAAAGCAAAATATTTCTAAATTGTGCAAATATAAATATACGTTAAACATTTGAAAATTTCTAAACCTTCCAAGACAGCTTGAAACAGAAACTGTTTAAACCAGAACTACTATAAGACTGATTCTTCTTTGTGGTTAGATCACTGGCTTAATAAATCAACCACTAATGATTGAGGGTGTGCACTACCCCAGGCAACCAGGAGCTCACCGCAATGAACATACCAGACATGATCCCTGCCCTCAGGGAGCTTGCTTTTTAGTGGGGAGAGAGAGATTACACAAAAAATTGGACCCTACAAATTGGGATATGAAGGTAAAGAGCTGGGTGACCTAAGAGTATACTTACCAGGGTGCCTAATATATGATACAGGTCAGGGAAGGAGTCTTTGAGGAAATGCTATGTCAGCAGCGGGAGGAGGTAAAGAGAGAGTGGAGGTGCCAGACGCCTGTGCCCAGAAAGTACTGGGAGAAGAGGGAGAAGGACCAGAGAGGCAGGAGCCCAGGGCGCAGGGGGGGTGGCCAGTGGAGGCGGTACCGGTAATGAGGATTTCAAGATTCATCCTGCAAGCAGCAGGCAGGAGCTCCAGCACACTGAGGCAGAGTGCTGGCTGGGAGATGCTTCACTGTCATCTAACTCCTCTTTCCAGGGCCAACAGGTACCTGATGGGAGCCTTTCCGTTTTTTCTTGTTTTAAAATAAAGTTAGACCAGTCCATCTCACCTTCCATTACTGTAGAAACAGTCAGGCTTTTTGACAGCTTCGAATCCATCTGGGTTCATTGATGGCATGATGTGTATCCGGGTACTATTGATCAGATTCGTGATTTCAGGGTCTTTCCCATAGCTGGTGACGAGATAGTCAATCAGATGGAGCAGCAGCTCCCTCCCGACAGTCTGTGTGGTGGAAGAGAAAGGGGGTGTTTTAGGTCAGAAGCAATAAGGAAAATTATTCCTGGAGGACAAATCCCTCAGCAGGGGCCTGAATGCATGATATATTGGACCAAAACTAGTCCATAGGACCACTAATTCCTCCAGCACAGGGCAATCAGGCAAGTGATAATCAATCCCTGGATGTGCTGCAAAGTATTTGTTACTCAAAATTACTCTGTTGTAAATAGTTTACTTTTTATCTTGGGGATAGGGATTGAAACAAGAATAATTATTTTTTAAAAAGAATTACAGCCAGGTTCAGTAGTGCATACCTGTCATCCCAGCTATTCAGAAGACTAAGGAAGGAGAATGGCAAGTTCGAGGGCATCCTGGGCAACTTAGCAAGGAGACCATGCCTCATAAAAAACTTTTAAAAAGGGCAGTGGGTGTACCCAACTAGGTGCCCTTCAACAGATGAATGGATAAAGAAAATGTGATATGTATATACAATGGAATATTATTATGACTTCATGAAATCTGCTGGTAAATGGGTGGATCTGGAGACTACCATGCTAAGTGAAATAAACCAATGCCCCAAAACCAAAGGACAAATGTTCTCTCTGATATGCAGATGCTAGGGAGGGTGGGAAGGAGAAACAGAAGTTCAGGTGGATTAGACAAAGGGAAATGAAGAGAAGGGAGGGAGGACAGGAATAGGAGAGACAGTGGAATGAATGAGTCATAACTTTCCTATGTTCATATATGAATACACCATTAGTGAAACTCCACATCATGTACCACCACAAGACTGGGATCCTACTTAGAATAAGCTCTATTCCATATATGTATAATATGTCAAAATACACTCTACTGTCCTGTATATCTAAAAAGAACAAATAAAAAATAAAACACAGGAGATATTTTTAAAAAGAAAGAAAGAAAAGAAAAGAACTCAAGCCAAGAGCTGACAATGAGATTCACCAGCCAAAGGCAAAGAAAGCCAGGTTTAAAAGGCTTGGGTTGAGTGTGAATTCAGTTAACAGTAGAACTAGTCATCAGTTCTATTTACAGTCAAAATGTAACCAGTTATTTTTAGTTTTACTTCAGTTTTATTCTTCTGTTAATAAATTTTAGTRGGATTAAGTTTAAAGATTTAAATATAATCATACTTAGGTCAATTTGAATATGATTACATTTTATACATCTTAAAAGTACCAACTCATAATATAAAATAGAAATATACAAGTGTCTGGGAAATAGTAATAAAGGTTATTCTGGGTGAAAGTATTCTGATAACTTGTTCCCTCTTATTTTTCTAGTATTACTTTCTAGTATCTTTTTGTCATTTTTATAAAAACAATAAAGTCATGATTCTTTCAGGTACAAAAGTGTGTAATCAAAGTATTTTCTGTTTGTCTCAACATACCACAAGAAGTCACAAGTGCTCAACTGGAGAGGGTATATAAAAACCTTGGGAATATGACAAAGAATAATTTTCAGATAATTTGAAAAATGCTGAGGCAAACAGATGAAATTTCAGAGGGAGTTAAAATCTCTTTTTTCGGTTGGTCCATACTTGCTGCCTCTGTAACAGCAGAGTTCAACCAAATATTATTCAAATTAATTCCTCCCAACTTTAATATAAATGTCTCAAACATTCACTCATGTTTTATGTATAAACCTCCTTCCCTTCCCAATTTTAAAACTTTAGAATTAAGCCTTTGACTATGAAACCTTGGAGAGTTCAAATTTTAAGAAAGAATGTGGTGAAAACAGTGTCCCTTAGCTTACCCGGCCTTTCATCCAGCACGCTCACTTCCTTTCTGTGAGAGTATGGACTTCATGAAAGGACCCCCAGTAAGAGCCTGGGAGGCCTGGAGCACACACACTGCGTGGGGAGCCTTTCACTGGTGATTCAGACGGTCGTTAAAATGGCAATAACCCAGAAGGCAGAAAATAAAGTCTCCATCAGGTTTAGTTCAATTCAGCCAACTTGGAATTTGCCAGACAGATAAAAACGAGTCTAGATCTTCAAAGCATGTTTATAACACAATGGGGAAAATTTGAAGGAACAATCCACAACACCGTTAGTAGGGGGCAAGAGAGAGTGGGAAAGGCAGACAGGCAGACAGACACAGACAGACAGAAACTTCAGTTCTGGGGTTCCACAATGGTGTGTTACAGATTTAATTCATTTGCCTGATGGTCTAGCTAATCCTCCTTGGTCAAATATCGAGCCTACAGATTCCATTATCTAACATACAGTCCCTAGCCTCCCACATCTGGGTTCAGCGACCTGCCTGTGTGGCCCCTGCACATCCTACCACTACGCTATCTAATGCCACTCACATAGGTTACAGTTAACCTAGCTGGGCACCCCTTCCCTACTTCACCATCTAAGCCTTGAGAGTAAGGATCTGAACCATTTCCCTCTGTATCCCTGGTATATCTTGCACATTTCCTGGTGTATCATGAATTTGGTAATTGTTAATTACTTACTGTTGACAAATCCAGTACAAGATCAAGACAACCCTGAGAAAGAACTTTTGGAAAACACGAAGACCCACAGTACTTAGGAAGAAGAGATGTTCAAAATGATAGTTATTTTGTTTGAAGGATTTTCAGTACTGAACAAAATTTACAGGGATGTGGCGGGGGGGCTGACATTTCTGCTTATGACAAGAAATCTAAATATCTGGTCACACTGGCTCAGCCTCACCAAAAAGAGATGGAGAAACAGATCACTATTTGAGGAATCTTCTACATGCTAAAAATGAACTTGACACTTCACCTGGAATAACCATTAGCTCTGTCTAAACCTAAAAAGAAAGAACTATTTAAATTCATGTGGTATAATTGAGAACAGTTTGCTATCTAGAAAGTGGTGGAAAAAAGTTTTGGAAGAACAAGCTTTTACATTTTTGTTCGAACAAATTTGGCACCTCTATCTCATGGTGACTACACATCCCAGACTTTCTAAGACAGGCACAATTTCAGATATTATGTCTTATTGTCTGCATAAACCATTAAAATACCCTCTAAGTACAAACATTTAGATATACAAATTGCATCACATAAACTGTTTCTATACTGAGATGTGTAAAAGTCAAATGTGCTTTATTTTTAGGTTGAAAATATGCTCATTATTTGTAGGAAATGTTTTTTCTTTCAACCTATATATCTGGAATACAATAAAGTATAAACAAATGTTACTAAATGTAAGATTCTAAATGTGATATGGGTTTTTCAAAAGTCTAAACCCAAATAAACAATCATAGTAAAAACTGACATTTAAGAAACAGAAACTTAAATTCCCAGGGTGCTACCTCCTCCCCCAAGTCAGAATTGTAGTTTAGTTGAACTTAAGAAAAAATTCAAATACCTACTCTCACAGTAATCAAGATGTGGCCCCAAGGTCAAGGCCACTGGGGCTGGAATCCAAGGTCTGACCTATACTTTACCTGTTGCTGGGTGAGCTTAAAACTCTAGACACTCAATTCTTAAAACACAGTCATACCTCACTTCATTATTTCCACTAGAGAAGAATTAGAGAGGTCTTAACCAACCAGCAATTGCCCAAGTAAAATAGTTTTTTTTTTCTAAAAATAAAAATAACAAAATAAAAGCACTGGGTGGGGAGATAAAAAGCACAGAACAGCACAGAGAGCTTTAGGAAGGAAGGAGGTATGGAGACCCTCCTGGGTGGCTCTCCTGCAACCACACTGAGGCCAAGGATGTTATGTTCCCAGCGTCAGGACATGACCAGAGCTTTAAGTAAAGCTCAATTTTAGATTATTGATTTTAGTGTCCACAAATCGAGACAATAGCCGAATGAGGGGGTGGGGGAAGGCAAGGGGGATAGATCTCAACCCCAAACAATCTGAATACCTATGGAATAAGGGAAGAGTAGGACTCCATTCAGTGTGTACTGGCATCGATCCTTCCAGTTAGAAAAGTCTAACTAAACTTCAGGTGTGTCATTAGGAGGCTGCATATATTAAACCTAGAATTGGGGTTTCTACAATTTTAAGTTCCAATGTGTATATAAACCAGGGCCTGGAGGAACTAGAAAAACACCTGCTAGACTTACTAAAATGAGGAAGATGAAATCTCAGAAATGTTCCTCCCATGCTTTTTTATAAAGTACGGGCACATCAGGGGACAAAGGCTCCTCTGGATGCTTTGTCTGCAAGCTCCCAGGGGTGACTCCTCTGCAGTCAGGAGAAGCAAGCAGGAATTTGGAAGACAAAAGGTTCCAAGACAGGCAACTGGGAAAATCTCTTTCAGTGTTGCTCCTTCTAAAAGCTTGTTACTGTTTTGTATGATCAATAAGCCAAAGTGTTCTCATTAAATGATTCTGGAACAACTGAGTATCCATCCAAACAAAATTAGTTTGAGGGAGACCAAAGATCTATATACAACAACTAAAACAATAAAATCAGAACATTCCAAAGACAGTTAAAAAGGCAGATCCACTGGATAAGGCTTAATGCTCAGGCTCCAGATTCAGATGGTTTTGTGGTAAAACCCAAACCTGGATCACTTAGAGCCTTGCTAAATTGCCAGGCTGGCCTCAAACCTGCCTCTTCCTGCCTCAGCCTCCCGAGTAGCTGGGGCTTTGGGCCTGTACCACTGTGTCCACAATAACATCTTTTCTTTCTTTCTTTCTTTTCTTTTAAGTTACTGTCTTRCCTTTAGTTTTTTTAAAAAATAGATTGGAACTGGGCCAATGTGGTCATGTGTAGTTGTAATCCCAGTTACTGGGAGGCTGAGGCAGGAGGATAGAGAGTTTGAGGCCAGCCTGGGCAACTAGTGAGACCCTATCTCAAAATAAAAATGAAAAGGTCTGGGAATGTAGCCCAGTAGTACAGCATCCCTGGGTTCAATCTCCAGTACTATTTTTTTTTTAAGTTTTAATCTTTATTTTAAAAACATAATAACCAGGTGAGATAGAAGGAGTCATTTTCCAACACTGCTCATATACACTCAAATTGTAGGTTCTTCATGGTTTATTCTGAATTGCAAAAATTCTCTCTGTGCTTTCCTTTACTCAATCCTGGCTGCCATAATCAGACAGAAAGTTCAAGTTGCTTTTTTTTTTTCTTGGATATGTAGTAGAAAACTTAACAGATTATTTTTAATAAGGAAAAGACCTAATTCTAAAACAAGGTATAAAGAGGTGGAGATTCATGGGGGAAAATGGCCAAACTGGGTACTCCTGATGCTGCTGCTCCCACTGTCATAGAGTCACCATATCAAGTGGTAACAACACATGCCCACATACATGCACATAGGAGAGAGAAAACATTTCAAAAATAATGTGGCCAATCTTGTACATCATGCCCCTCAGCATATATGTACCTCCTATAGGGACTGTCCACATCAGGTCCATAATCTCCCAGAAGATCCAAAGATCCTGAGGTTGGAGGTCAAACTTTGTACCAATGTAACAAGGAATACCTCCAGAGAAGGTTAAGGATCACTGCCCTAAAATACTAACTACATTACTTTTTCTTCTTCTCTTTTCTCTTTTCAGTGCTGGAGATTGAACCCAGGGCCTTGAACAGTTAGGCAAGTGCTCTGCCACTGAGTTATCCCCCAGCCCCTTATCTTGCTTTTCTTTTTTTCTTTGTCACCAGGGATCAAACCCAGGGGTGCTTAACTACTGAGCCACATCCACAGTCCTTTTTATATTTTATTAGAGACAAGATCTCTCTGAGTTGCTTAGGGCCTCACTAAATTGCTGAGGCTGGCTTTGAACTTGTGATCCTCCTTTCTCAGCCTCCCTAGCTGCTGAGATTACAGGAGTGTACCACTTGGCCAAGCTACATTGCTTTTTAATAAGATAGGAAAACAGAGAATGCTTTCAGTGCCAAAAGATTTAAGTAAGGAACAAGGTGGTGGTTAGACCCTGTGCCAAGTGACTTTTTTGCTCCTAGGTTAGGCCATTGCTTTTTCTAACTCCCAGTGGCACCAGGATGGCTGACTATTGAAGTCTTCAAGTTAAAAATAATAACTTTCTTAGCAGTCCCATGGAGCCCACAGATGCTTCTACCAGCTGGGACATGAAAGGGGTTTACATGTTTCAGATCCTCACCTCAAAACACACCAAGACTTTTTCCTCTGCCGAATCTCAGTCCTCACTATTCCTTAAATAAGCAGGGTGAACTAGAGAGACTTGACATTATGGACACACTAACTACACCAGAAAATTGGGAAACTGCATGGAAAGAATAGCCAATTAGTGTGTGTGTGTGTGTGTGGGGGGGCAATGTTTCTTCTTATCTTTGGAAGTTTCAGTTCTGAGGGTTAATTTCTGAGTTGCAGACTGCAACTCCTGAAGCACCAGGAATTCAATAAATAAACTACTGAAGGCAAAGAGTGCCACCTGTCTCTTATTAAAAATGGATTCCAAGGGACCTTGATCAATAGACTGGGCAGCAAAAGGGAAAGACATCTGGGCTACTCTAATCGTTGTTTTATTAAAAGCAACTTTGGTTGGACTCCCAGCAATCTCAAGTTTTTTGTTTGTTTGTTTGTTTTTTTTAAAGAAACAGTGCATTATGTTCAGAAAGCCACAGATAGATCAAACTTCACTGGCCCCCAAGATACCTACTCTTTTCTGAGAGGCAGATGTTTGCATCTTTGCTCTGGCTGCAAGAAAAGTACCTTCTCTAAGCTGGGCAGGTTGGTCAGCATGCCTGGCAAGGGCAGGCTGTGTGCGTCATGAAGGGTGGAGCCAGTTCCCCAGGAGCCTGGGCTTGGAGAGGGTGAAGCCAGGTCAGGAAGCTTAGCACTGATGAGAGCAAGCCACCCAGGCTATTGCAAATCTGTAGTGTTCCAACAAGTGAGCAGGTTGTACTTATTGGAATATGCATTTACACTGACATTTTTAAATTACATGTTTAATAATGCATTCTGCACATTCCTGTGCATATTTTTTTTTTTTTTTTTATGGTGATGTCAGGAAACTACCTTTCTACACTTGACTGCCCAGTCTTATTGAATCCTGGTAAGTGGAAAATACTGCAGTTGTCATGTTCTCAAAAGTCTAAGGAAGTAAGGTGAGAAAGGGAGATGAACATCTTCAACTGTGTGCCAGATGGCTGGGCAGGTAAGAGTGGCAAAAGGATATTTTGTGAAACAAAAAGAATTTATTTCTTCTAACTTGAAAAAGAGGTCAGACGTTATGAAGGCATTCAACAGTATCTGTGGAATGATGGGTCTGAGAGAACCCTAAGTGTGCCTACCTCAAAGTGAACATTGAAACCATTGAGTATGTCAGGGGTAGTGGTGCAGTCCTGTAATCCAAGACTGAGGCAGGAGGTTCGCAAGTTCAAGACCAGCCTCAGCAACTTAGCAAGGCCATTAGCAACTTAGCAAGATCTTGTCTCAAAATGAAAAAGTAAAAAGGACTGGGATATAGGTCAGTGGTTAAGCACCCCTGGGTTCAAACCAAGAAAGAAAGAAAGGAAGGAAGGGAGGGAAAGAAAGAAAATACTGAGTATTGGATTAAGAGCCACAAAAGTATTCAAAAGCCAGATGTTAGGAATCTGGATAGCTATTTGGAATTTTCTGATTGTTCTGAGTTCAAATAAATAGAGCTCCTTTGCTGGGTGACCTTTATGCTGACTTGGATGGGGGCACAATCAACCCGGGAAGGATGGAAGGCCTTGGCTGGGAGGAGTTGAGAGCTAGAGCACTGTTTGCAGCTTCAAGAACAAAAACAGGCCAGGTTACTCTCACAGGGCACTAGGTCTATGACCGAATGGCTGTGCTGCTGCTGGACCCCGATTCCTTAAACTCCTTCAGAAGGTCTCACAGAAAGACCTTGCAGGGCCTTACTTCTTTGTTGCAATATGTGAGTCTTCTTTATGTTTCCTCTTTAGCATTTACATGGAGCTCAAGAGACCTGAGGGGAAGTGTGTCTGGTGACTTTGCAGAAATTCACGCCATGTCCATACCTCATCTCCATGCATATTTCCTACGTATTTGAATTCTGGAATCCCAACTCTGTGTTCCTTAGGAAACCGTCCCACGACAAGAACCCATAGGTTTCTACCTTTATTGGGAAGAAAAAAGAGAAAAGTAAGTTCATCTCTTAAAATGACAAATGAACTCTGGGAGAATGAGAATAGACCAGCGATGTTGTTTTTCCCACCTTACTTTTAACATTTCATGGTGACTTCAGTTCATATAATTAACATTTTAAGTGCTTAAAATATTCTTGTTTATTGTCAGAATTTAGGGAAACCCTTTCAATTCAACACAAATATTTATTATTCTAGGATGTGATTTTTAGAAATTGAACACTTATTAGGTTACATAGATCTTACTTTTCTAAAATGTTTATATACCTCACTTTAAGAACCTGGAGCCTCACAGAAACAATCTTGGGAAGGCACGCAATTTAACAAAGTTAAATTACAGTTGATGGTTGACTGGAAGGGGGGCCATCACTTGCAGCACAAACAAAATGAAAAAAGCAACAGTAATAAAACATGTAACTCAGGAGGGAGATTGTTTTTAAAGTAAGAACTCCTGAATCCTGTATTCAAATGCTAAAGCGACAAGCCCCCTGTGGCTGTGTTTTTGATGTGCATGAGTTCTGCAAAGTAAATTAGAAACCACAACCTGTGCTAACAATACCAAGGAAAACTTCTAAATCCCAGCTCTGCCTTAGACTGGAAGGGCAGAAACAAGATCATCAAGAACTGCCAGGACTGTGTCTGTGCCTATATCACAGCTGGTACCTGGTTCACCTCACCTCAAGCAATCCTGTCAGGACCCTCTGAGATGGATTATTAATCAAACTTCCCAAGTGAGAAAACTGATTACCAAAAATATTAAGTAAACTTCTTATGATCATAAAAGAGACCACAACTTAAGCCCCAGAGCCATGCCTTCAACCCTGGTCTATTTGATTTCAATTCTAGTGCTCCTTTCACTAACAAAAACTATCCATCTCTCAGAAGGCTTGGTTTCCCAACCAGTAAGAGCAAAGAAGTCCTTTTCAATTCTAAAATTGTCTGGTGCTTTTAATACAAACAGTTTAAAGTTGGAGATTGGGATTATGTTTGATCTTTATCAGGTATATACAAAGTTCAAATTATCTGTGATAACTCAGCTGTATGTGGAATTTAAGAGTCCAGGAAAGGAATTTAACAGCAACTAATAGGCTAATGTTGAGAGGGTTTCTGCAGAATTGCTGATTTGGTTCCTCAAATCAGGGATCTTACAGGCTGGGGAACACTCAGTTGCAATGAGTAGCTGAAGGAGAAGCAGATATTGGATTGTCTTTTTCAACATTTACTCATAATATTATTAGAATGATTTTTTAGGGAAATTTGTCATGAACAAGTTGATGCTTTAAATTCAGTAACTAGGAATTTTCAGAAAATGTTCACAAAATGCAGTTTGTCTGATTGATGGCTCCCTGTTCAGTATAGAGTTCACCTCCATTTATTTATTTGATTACTACATCTAGACATTCAGCCTGGATCAGTGACATGCTCCATGCCCAATGATTTTTTTAACATGTTTTTTTTTTTTAGTTGTAGATGGACACAATTTCTTTGTTTTATTTATTTATTCATAATAGCTAAACTGTGGATCCAACCTAGATGCCCTTCAGTTGATGATTGGATAATGAACATGTGGTATATAAACACAATGGAATACTATTCAGCATTAAAGAGAACAAAATCATGGCATTTGCAGGTAATGGATGGAGTTGGAGAAGATAATGCTAAGTGACGTTAGCCAATCCCCAAAAATGAAATGCCAAATGTTTTCTCTGCTATAAGGAGGCTTATTCATAGTGGGGTGGTGGTGGGGAGCATGGGAGGAATAGACAAACTCTAGATAGAGCAAAGGGGAGGAAAGGGTAAGGAGGAGGCATGGGGGTAGGAAAAACAGTGGAATGAGATGGACATCATTACCCTAAGTACATGTATGAAGATACGAATGGTGTGACTCTACTTTGTATACAGTAAGAGACTTGAAAAATTGTGCTCTATATGTGTAATATGAATTATAATGCATTCTGCTGTCATGCATAACAAATCAGAATTTAAAAAAAGATTAGGGATTTGAAAACAAAAAGATTGGAAATAAATAAAGATGCTCATTATCACTACAAAAAAAAAAAAAAAGAAAGTTCGTTCAAGGCCAGCCTCAGAATCAGTGAGACCCTAAGCAACTTAGTGAGATTCCATCTCAAAAAGAAAGAGACCTGGGGGTGTGGCTCAGTGGTAAAACATCACTTTGTTAAATCCCCACCACTAAAGGGGGAAAAAAGCAACCATTCTGAGTTTGCCATGTAGACATGTCCATTCCATCTAGTCATTCCCCACCAGAAGCATTTGATTAATTAGAACCCTTCATTCACCAATGGCATTAATTCTCTGCTCATCTGGAACTCAGTCCTACAAAGCTAACATTTCATATGAAACAAGGAAGAACTTTTTATAAGTGAGCTGTTAAACTTGGCTCTTTGGGTTTGTTTCTGGGGAATTCTTTTCTGTAACTATTAATGCTTTTAAAGCTATCATAATCACAGATTTGTACAGAGTATAGTTTTGTTCCCTTTTGGGCAAGAGAAAAATTCAATATTATCTTAACATAATATTTCTCAATTGTAATATATAATTCTGAGTCTACAACAGCCTTTTTTTTTTTTTTTTTTTTTTTTTACACAAATCATAGGAGTAGACAGCAAAACCCTAACCTGATGTGGACATCCAATATCACTTAGTTTAAGGAAAGAAACTGATCAAACCGAATGAAGACATCCTTTGGTGGGTAATTCAATCCCAACTTTAGCACAAATGACCTCTAAGTGAACTGCAAGATGAGAAACTTACCTTGAATGACTTCATTGGCAGTAAGCCTGAGAGTGAAATCAACCCACAACCTTGAAGGATACACACAATCCTTTTGCAGTGACCTGACTCTCGAAGGGCTTTCACCTCCCCCTCCAACCAACATTGGCCATCTCTGGCTAAGACCAGAGGAAGCACACAAAAGACAAACCACTTACCTCCAACAACCTGGTAGTCAAAACAAGGGCAATGTAAGCAAGATTTTTTCTTCTTAAGTTGGAAAGACTACCTTTATTCTCCCAAGTTCGAGCTAGTATCAGGTGTGATAAAGAGTTCTGAAGTGTTCTGCCTTTTTCTCTTCATTACAAAGTAAATTAAATTTGGATTCCAGATACTTCAGAATTTACACTTACTCACTCACTCAGGGTTTAACACAAACCCTGGGCCATGGGTGCCAAATTGAGTTGCTCAGAATATCAGGAAAAGGTTTACAGTTTAGGATTCACAAAGACACACAAGACAAGAAAGGAGACAAGAAGTGCTACAATGTACTAGGGTAATTCAAGACAAGAGAGGGGAAGCTTGGATCAGGGATTCCCACATTAGAATCTTCTGAGATCCTTGTTAAAGAAAAAAAAAAAAAGGCCATTTCCTAAGTTCTCTCTTTTTGGGATCAAGGGATCAAGCCCTTGCACTATGCCAAACAGACACACTACCATTGAGCCACATCCCTTGTCTCCTCAAAATACCAATTCCTGAGCTTCAACCTCCATCTACTAAATCGAATTCCATGGGTAAAGTCTAAGACATTTAACAAGTCCCTTTGGTGATTCTGAGGCCTATTACTGTGTTTTTTAAAAAATCTTTTTATTTGCTCTTTTTAGTTACACATGATAACAGAATGTATTTTGACATGTCATACATACATGGAGTATAACCCCATTTTTGTGGTTGTGTATGATGTGGAGTTACACTAGTCATGTATTCATAAACACGCATAGGAAAGTTATGTCTGATTCACTCTACCGTCTTTCCCATTCCCATACCCCATTCCCTTCCCTTCATTCCCCTTTGTCTAATCCAGTGAACGTCTATTCTCCTCCCTGCTGATTATTGTTATTACAGTTTAAAAGAAACTGAATGGTCCAGATAGATTTGGGAGCCAATTTAGGTAAAACCATCTCATTTTACATATAATGATGAACCTGTTTCTATGTTAAGAGATATACTTCTACTGTACCTTTTAGGATGGCTGCTAAATGTTTTGTTATATGAGCACACTTCCATTTATTCTACCAGTTCTTTCTTGTTAGGGGTCCACCAAGAAGTAATTTTATGCAAATTGTGCCATGTTCACTAAAATTAAGTACAGAATCTAACATTAAAAAGATTTCTAAGATAGGCTTGGAAGGCTGAAGCAGGAGGATTGCAAGTTCAAAGCAGTCTCAGCAATTTAGTGAGGCTCTAAGCAACTAAGTGAGACCCTGTCTCAAAATAAAAAGTAAAAAGGGCTGGAGATGTGGCTCAGTGGTTAAGTGCCTGGGGTTCAATCCTCAGTACAAACAAACAAATAAATAGAACTATTTATATTGTGAGAAAAATCAATGAAAAATTATGTAACATCAAAATGTGGGCTGGGGCTGTGGATCAGTGGTAGCGCACTTGCCTAGCATGTGTGAGGCACTAGGTTCAATTCTCAGCACCACATATTAAATAAATAAATAAAGGTCTATGAACAATTAAAAAATATTTAAAAAAAAACGTGTAAAATAGGTTGTTCATTAAAAACATACAGCACCACAGTATATAAAGCCTAAAATAATGGAGGAATCCCTATACGAGATGGAAATAGCACATGTCAGTGATAAGGAGCTGAGAGGGTGATAAAAACCAAGTGACTTCTTTTTTCTTTTTCATGTTTGCAGTTTTTAAAATTAAAAAAATAAATTCTTTCTTAGTTTTTTTCTTTAATAAGAACAGAACAATTAAAATATCAAAATTTATCATTCATTAAGTCTGGGTATTATGGGCAGGCACTATGCTAAGTAAATGCTGTCTGCTACTGGATGTTCATAACACCTCTGTGTAGGGGGTGATAGCCACACTTCATAGCTGAGTGAAATGGCAAAACCAGGTTCAAATCCAGGCATGACTAAGCCCAAGATTTGTGCACCTCGATACCACCACACAGCCCCAATCTTCCTGGAAGTACTGGATAGGCTGGAACCCTGGTCTCAGG